CTTTTTTTTTTTTTTTTTTTTTTTTTTTTTTTTTTTGTTACGTTCTCAATCGTTTTTTTGTATGATTTTGTTCAGGCAATTGTATCAATGCAGTCATGTCCCATTGGTTTCATATTGCAGGCTCTTCTTTCTCTGCAGCAGACATTGCCGTCGACCTAAGTCGCATGGCTAAGAATGTGCGTATTTACTTAATAAAAAAAAATAAAGTTATAAGTGAAGTTCAGCGGTTTGAGGTAATGAAGTTCAAAACACATAAACATTTATTAACGTCGACAGTCTCCGCCTACAATTGCGCTGTTGAGTTTCAATGTCTAATTTCTACTATCCATGCGTTTTCTGATGTCGTAAATAATGAATTCGACAAAGAATAACTCAAAGATAATTAATTAGTTAATTATCCATCAAATTATTAGTTCTTATTCATTAGACTCCACAGTCAGTAATGGTAGATCACACATTACATTTAATATTTTCAGACATATATAAGCACCAGACGTGGATTTTGGATAATGCCACGACTTCCAGACGGACAAGACCCATGGGACATGACGCTTTTCTCTAGACCACTCATTAACTGGCTTCCGTGGGCGTAAGATATCTTTGTTTTATATCTTATATGGAAATAGGCATATTTACATGTATACTACCACCTACTCTTATAGGTTGCAGATTTTGTGAATAAAACACTGACAGACCTATTTGTCTTTTTCATAATAATAATAATAATAATAATTATTATTATTATTATAATATTGGTTGATCTTTGTTGAATCTGGCGATTCCATTTCATCTTTTTATCAGATTGAGGACTCGTGCGTGGGGAAATGTCCTGAAAGAACGGTTCAACTATCAGAAATTTGACGTCAACCCTCACAAAAGGTTTCTCAGTCAATCGCTGTGCATAACAGATGAGCTTCAAAACAAGCTGCTATATGGGCAGGTCAAAGTAAGTAACACAAGAAAAATTATATAAAGAGGCTGAGAAGCATTTTCATGTACTTGTATCCGTAAGAAGTGAGATTCCCCAATTCCCTTTAAAGTTTTCTTCTAAAAATCTGCAACGTTTTTTTACGTTCAACGTTTTATTTGTCCAATTTAAGGCAAAGCCCTCCATTTCAAAGTTCACTTCAAGTGGTGTGACATTCACGGACGGAACCAGCATAGAAGACTTAGACGCTGTTATATTTGCTACTGGATACAGACTAAAGTGTGCCTTCATTAAAGACACTCAAGTGCTTCCAGGTAAATCTGGTCGAGATATGTAACTTGCATAAAATCATTCTGAAAGTTGCTAATTCAGAATGTTTGCTTGAATCCAATTATCATTTTAGACAGATAGACAGAAAGATTCATTCTTACACAGATACTCTTTACCTGTCATAACATTCATGTCTTTCTTTTTTTCAGAAAACTCAGCAGAAATGGAGATGTACAAACATATTTTCCCCGTAAACATCAAACATCAAACCCTTGTGTGCATCAACTACCTACGGGTGTTAGGCTCCGTTCTTCCCACGTCCGAACTTCAAGCACGTGTCGCCGCTCGCGTGTTTTCTGGAAACTTAAAGCTCCCAAGCGCATCCCACATGAAACGAGACGTAGCAGAGAAAAAATCTGAGATAATAAACCAGTGGGGGAATTGCACCGTACCAAAGGTAACCCAGCCATTAGTCTTTTTTCATCTTTAAAACAAACAATAAAAGACAACTTACCGATTAATTGGGTCAAAATCTTTATTCATTAAAATGATGCATGGTACAGTAAAAGATCTTACAGATTTTTCAGAATTATTTAATATAAAATCCGATATTTAGACACAAATTTCTGCCTCAGTCAAAAATAACGCTATAATAAATTCAAAGATAAAACTATGCTAAAAAGTGTGTCCCGTTTTTTCTAGGAATTTGTGTATTTCTACTATGAGGAATTGGCGCAGTTATTAGGAGTCAAGCCCCAAACGTGGAAGCTTCTTGTCACAAATCCAAGTTTGGTAAAAAAACTCATGTTTGGTCCAGTGACGCCTGCGCAATACCGCCTCCATGGACCCCACGCCAATTTTGACGTCGCGGCACAATCTATTTTAGACATATAAATTATAATGTTGGTGTTGTCTTTGAAAATTGGACTTACATCAGATGAATGTATTTCATGTGTCATTCCTAAACCTATAAGCAAGCATGTATGTAGTTCGTGTTTGTGATTGTTACTTGAATATACAGGAATGCTACAGTTGAGTTTGGCGTTTGCATCGTGCCGATTGTGGTGACTGTATATGTGATTCCAATCATCTACACTATAGGAATCAAGAGATTCAGACTAACCGCTAGACGAATGACAAGGACGTTAAAATCGAGCATATAGGGCCTTTAAATGTGGATGTCTACCTCATAGAAGAGGTGCATCAATTACTTTTGATTTTATCAATTTTTTTTTATACCGCAATTATTTGCTCACTACTTTTAAAAGGAAACATACTTTCAAGACTGCTAAATCGAAACCAGTCTCAAAAATATGAGTCAGTGACAATACATATGTACAAGATCGACGTTTTAGACCAAGTTTTATCTGAAGTCGGATCAATTGCGCATCACGATGAAAAGGACGCAATACGTAAGAAGAGTCACAATTTTCATTTTTAAAATTTTGTTTAAACTACATGTACAACAATAATATTTTTACACAAAGATTGATATTCAGACATTATTATAATCAAAATATATAATCAGTTACTTGACACTTATATCACGTTAGAATGATGAGTGATCTGGACTGAATTCCTAGATTTTTTTCGTCAATTTTCTATTTTTCATGATGTGCAGACTAAGAGGTCAGTCGGCATAATCTGTGGTTACATGTATATACTCACTGAACCACTCACTCGCATACTGCTGGATAGGGAGACAGGGCCTCTTCAATGGAAGGTACAGATTTATACATATAAGTACCAAAATGTGACAGTTAAGTAGGTTGATTATGTTTTTTATACAGATTTATACCTAAAGATGATATTATAAAATGGTTGGGACAATTTGTATTTTAAATATTAATTTGTATCTCAATTTACGTACATAGTGTGTTACTTAAATTAAACGGATGTTGTAATATTATAAAAAGCAAAATGTGTATCGTCTTCAATTCCGCTAAAACTAGTACAAAAAGTAAGAACCCTGGAATTTTTATGTGCACTGCAATTCTGAATTTTTTTATTCAGACCGACACTAGGGCTAGCTTAATCCAAGTCTACATCCTTACACCTGTTCAGTTAAACTGTCCTCTCTCCACTCTTGAGCTAATGTGAAATAGGCTCCCTATATGCATGTGGTGTTAAATAACCCTCTACCACGACCAGAGATTAATTTTTTACTAAATATTCACAGATATGTCTCTCACTAATTCTTTAGATTTTCTCTGCTGTCCAGCGAAAATGTTTTACACATGAAATAAATGTCACCACTCATCTGGCATTACTAAGCTGTCATCATTTAGCTAAGGGAGGAAGTACACAGTGTTCAGGTGAACCGAACCGACTGAGTCTTGAGATACATGTACGAAATAGACCTTTTTATTGCGAAAACATCTCTCAACTGTTACCCTGATGAAACTATATGATTGCACGGAATAATTCAGAATGCACATTTCTAAATTTATTTATTTATTCATTTTTTGCGGCGATGGCAATCAATATCGAACACCTTTCTGCCGTGCCCTGGACCCTCCTCCCTGCAAGATCCAAGCGAAGTATCATTTTTTAAATTTTGGTTCTCTAGTTGAAATTCAAGAATAATCTCAAGAGACAGTTTATAAATAATGGTAGACAGTTCCCTATCTCAGCGTTTTGGGAGTGGTAGTACGCAACAGTTATGATTTTGTGTCTTTAAAGTGTATAATTAAGAAGTGAAGATTAGTAACGCCCTCCTGATTTGCAACGAGAGTGAACAATGAATAGTGTGTTTTGATATCTTTCACATCAAATAAAAAAATGAAAACGTGACAAAATGAACGCACAAGTGTGCTTCTGGTTGAGCATGCTGTAAAATTAATACAACCCCGTAACCGAGAATGAGAAAACTTCATATAGGGAAAAAGAGTGGGAGGGATGACTGCCGTCCTAAAGCTTTGCGTCTCGTTCTCAAATTTTCACCCCGGACCTGAAGGCTTTGGATCCCACGGAAATTATCTGTTCCACAAATGTGATTATATTTATGTAACATGGTATTTCAGTACCGATAAATGGGATTTTGTCACGAAACAAGATTCCCAAATATGTATAAAAACGTTATTTTATTATTTCATTTCCCACTGTCTGTCTTTACATACTATCGTTATTTATTGAGTGGATCTGCGGAAAAAGAGAATGAAGGAGACTGTCAATGCCGCATTCGTATGTCTTGTTGTTTTGTTTCTTGTGGCAAACATGAAGCAGACAGAGGGTGCTATAGGGCAAGGCAACTACCCTTTCCCCGGCGGTGTTCGGATTACGAACCCTAGTTATCAACAAATATTCCGTCGGCCGAGCTACGGGTATCAACAATTATTCCGTCAGCCGAGCTACAATTTCGGGCAGACTTTTAACCCTTACTACAGAAATACGGGCTTTCAGATACCTTTCTCTGGAAGTGCTGGTGGTGTGGTATTCTGGTAACACATTTTTCAAGGTGAGCAGATGTTTGCAAGGTGCCCTCTTAAACCCGATAGCTTATCGTTGACCATAATCTAGATAGTCATGTGGCTATGTAAGTGCAGATTCTAGAATAAGGCTTACATAATGCCGCCGAAGATCAATAGTTTTTTTTTTCGCTAAAGAAAGTTTAAGAAAAGATTATCTGGAAAATCAGAATTTTGGAAGTCTCTAGAAGTTAGCTATATGAGCGGATACCTCAGGCCATCATATGATTTTACATTTCAGCTTCTCTAGATGCAATAATAAATCTGTTTTAACAACTATCGAAACTCGATAAACATATATTGAAACCATGAAATATTGATTCAGTTCCAGGTTTTATTTATCATGCTCAACTGTACACGCTTTTCTTTTCAGGAGTGAAAATTGTATGCCTGTCTTAGAAAGTTCGATTAACGCCACAACTGAAGTTCGCTTATCAAAGAGTGCGCATCGACCATTTGCCATGCTGAACACGAAAGCCTTTCTGCTTACGAGCCTCTCCACGTCCTCCCAGCACAGTGATTTCTGTATTCCAAAGATTGCATGAATGGACAACTTTTTCTACAGCCATTAACACATGACTTAATATTACGAAATGCGATATTAGACACATAAACTGCAACTGTGCGACTTAAACTGTAGAATACAAATAATAAATCGGTAAACTTAACCACTTATATATATATATATATATATATATATATATATATATATATATATATATACATAGTATTCAGTGGTCACGTATGCAATTTTAATAACTTTGCTGAAGTGAGAGAAAACCCTAAATTTAAAAAAAAAAATCATTTTCTTTTGACGCACCAGCTTTTCAAATACACATCGGTATGATTATCTTGATGTTTTTGACCGCTTTGAACACGTTTTATATCCTTTATGAGAGAAAGTCATTGACAATATCCAACCTATGCAAGATAAACGAATATATAAAAAAACGGTACTTGTGGAAGTTTTTCTCCAACTGCTCAGTTCGTAACAATTTCGTATTCATTACAATATTTGACATGCGTATTAAATTGATAACCGAAACATTCAGAAAGTGGATCTACCATACATTTTTTTCTTATACAATGTTATCTTTTTGTGGAGATATTCACATCTAAACAGTGCCAATTCTGAAGATTAAAAAAAATATATGAATTTCTTTAAAAAAGAGTGCAGCTAACATTGCGTTAGGCGTGTCTCTATGATGGCCATCACAATGAACAAGGCTGCTGATTTGCACTGGTTGCGGTAGTTGTGTCGCAACTGTAGCATTCCATCCTGTCATTTTATGATAAAGGATAATTTGATGACATTCAATTAGAATATTAGAAAAAAAGAATAAGCTTACTTGGAACTACCAAACTCGACTCTCCGTTAACACTGTTAATAATATACAGCCCAACAAGGCAGGGGCAAGGATCTCTAAATCAGAAAAGACAACAGGAGAACGAAATTTAAATCGAAGAGACATGAAACCATTCTCACGATAAAAAGGCAACATTTTCTATATCCATTCGTCCACAAGGGATAATTTTGGTTCATATATACATATGTCAACTATAGTTCTTTTTATCTCGCGTCATTTACCCATTTTAAAATTAAACAGACAGTGGAATGTCGAAAATATTTTGATGATATTCTTTTATTTGAAATAGGAATACAATATTTAGGATACGGCAGTTTATACATTCAAAGCGTTTATAAACATGTATTATGTCTTGAGGTATTATAAGGGTTAGGTGACTCCATCCGGCGGCCACATTCGAAGTCGAGATTGTCACGCGGGAGTCGATGCACAGTTGGACTTCTAGTAATGGCCTCCTGGAGAGTGCTTCGTCTTCTATATACCATCACTCTGAAAGAGCAGAATGCATGCTATAATACTAAATGAGTGATACGTATGCAATTTTAATATCCAATATTTTCATAAGATTATGTAATAAAACAGTGTTCTCCACTTTACTTTGGTGCGTGCTCACAGTGTCACAGGGGACGGGGGTGCTGAAGGTCCAATCGCAGGTGCATATAAGAGAAACATTCAGTTAGCAAAAAATAAATAAATAAATAAATAAATAAATAAATAAATAAATAGATAGATAGATAGATAGATAGATATCTGGCAGCCTGATGTTGTCCAAATGTACTCTCAGCGTTTTGTCTCATAGAAATTTTAAGCTGTGAAAATTTCTTTTTTTCACACATAAGATACACTATACGACGCACCGAATAAAAAGTTTGCAAGGGCAAAATATCAAATAAACAGATCAATTGTTGAACTGACGACGAAAATTTTAAATTTCGAACACTTTCAAAACCTGTAAACATATCAATAATTATACTTACCACTACCCAACAAAGCCCTGAGCGGCTCCGCCGTTAAATGCAACTCCTCTCTGCAGCGCAGCGTTGTTACCAAGCCCTGCAGCTTGTCCAGCACTGGTCTGAAATCCAGTGTTTTGTCCACCTCCGGCCACCCGCCTAACTTGCCCGCCAGCTTGACCAGCCGAACCTCCACCAAACCGATTATACAAGCCATTTCCTCTCTGTGTGCCGAACCCGGCGTTATTGTACAGACCGGATTTAATACCAATGCCCGCGTCGCTGGATACCCCTCCGTTAGCACTCACTGAGTTAAAAGTCTTGCTGACTGCGTTGAAGTTCTGGTATCCGTTGTTGCTTTGTTGTCCGAATCCTCCTGCGTTCTGGCCAAAACCCCCAAAACCCGAGGATGCAGCATTTGCGTAATTTCCAAGACCCCCAAAACCCTGGAATCTTTGGTTGTTGGCAAAACCCTGCTGCCCGCTTAGAAGACCCTGTCCAGAACCGAACGCGCCCTGGGCTCCGAACCCCTGGTTCTGTCGGTTAGAGTTCACATAACCCAGCAGAATCACCTGACCACTAGGACCTCGGACGAAAATGGGAATTGGACCCCCTATTCCAAATTGCGCAGAGGAAACTCCCACTAGCGCAACGACCACAGCAGCAAGAAAGCACCGAGCAGCCATGGGGTAGTTGTGGCTTGACTACGCCTCAGCTTGTTACGCAAACTTCTCGTTTTGTGGCGGAATAAGAAATTCCGCGGTTTTTATACTGTGACTTCTTTCAGATCAAATTAATATGTATAGAGTTAACTGTTAGTTGTGGTAATATTATGTGACATGATAACATCCAACCACAATGTTTTACAAGTTAAATTCCTTCCTGATATGGCCTAGTGTATAATCATTTATGACCTACTCCGCTTAAAGCAAATTTTAAAAAATCAATGCACTCATTAAGACTTTCGTTTGGATAAAAATGGTAGGATATTTCACGAACAAGAGAAATATATTCCCAGAAGTATTTTAAAAGCAAGAGTAACACTTTCGACAAAAATTTCAAAAGAAACGACAACAAACGGAGCGCAACTAAATTATTTGACAATGGACCTTGCAATAACCTCATCTGCTTTTACTCTCGCTGTCGCATATGGTAAACGCTTTCTAACTTTTAGGTACTTACTTAAGTCGGCAACTGCTAGCCAACTGTGATTGATTTAGTTTTAGGAAACTCAACGCTTAAGATTAACAGACGTTGAACACTACCCGATTTTAAAAAAATATAACATGCAATCCATAACGGTCTCCACTCTCCTATAACCAAATCTTTATGAATGGATTTAAGGTGTTTACAAGGTAACGGACAAACGTCGTTTCCCCAGTAGTTTTTATATGGGGTGTAAATGTTGTATTTGAGTTTCACTTTATGTTCTGTTGTTGTGTAGCAATAATACGGGTGGTAGATATTTGTATTTCCATCAGGCTTTGGTTTAGCTTTGGTTTAACTGTAACTGATATATAACTATAACTATAACTTTGCTGGATATAACATATGCAACTGTTCGTTTGTAGACCCTCTGTCTTGTTGGACGTGGTCACTTGTACATTGAAGATCTCTATAATTAATTATTACATTATTAATTACTGACCCAGTATATTTAAAACCTTGTCTTCACTATAACGTAAAGGGGGATGTCGCACCAGATTTTTGTTATAAATTTGTACAGAAATTCAAACCTATATGCGATTTTTAAAAAATTTGAGAAAAAATTGATTCGACGGGAATTTTAACAAGGCTGCCTTGTCTCATGCCTTAAAAATGATAGCCGTTTAAATTCTACATAGATATAAGGAATAAAACAACGGAGAAGACTAATATGGAAGGAAATGTTGTTAGTTGTTGAGACGTCTGGTACGGAATTAAAAATGTATCCTGGCAACTGTTTAATTGAGAATCGACTAAATATTTTTTATTCAAAATTTTGAGGAAACTTACCCGGAAATATTTTTTCGTATCACAGATCACGAGGCAACAATTATTTGAGCAAGTCACGACCAACGCATGGAGCTGTTGGTTCAAACGTTATCAAAAGGAACCAATAAGAACGCCGGTTTACGAACCTGCCACTTGGCTCTATAATTTGCCTGTAATTTGTCTGCCCGATAAAAATTACTATATTATATCTTAGCAGTAAATTATCAGAGTTAACGATGCGGCACACTGTAGATAGCTACCTGTTCTTTTTATCACGCGTTTCCTAAATATAGTGTAATCTAAATTGACGTGTGCGACCACGGATCGGAGGCCTATGCTCTATTTTACCGGCTGCCTTCCTAGTTGACATGTCTTGTGAAGTTCTAAATAATATTATACAAACAACTTTGTAAAATTAATCTTTTCTTTTTTCTTGGACGACCGGCATTATTGTTCCCTGGGTGAAATATTATAAACATTTAATCGGTTTTACCTCAACCAATACAAAATTGTGTGATTCTACAGTCTTAATGAAATAGAACGTTTGTAATCTGGACTTGATTGAGAGATAATACCACTAAGGGTATATATATATATATATATATATATATATATATATATATATATATATATATATATATATATATATTCTCAACTTTTTCAGCTTAACCTGACCTCAGCTTCACCTCCAACGAACCACACATTCAGTGATTGTAACAGTCAGCCAACTCGCGCGCACTCTTGATTCGTATCTTTGTTGCCCGAAAAAAATCTCTGTTATCTGTTTATTTATATTACTGCAAATCTACATGGTCTCTCTTTCTCATTGTAAACATTACTGAAATCAAATTCGTTTAGTACTTATCCCTGCATGTAGTGTTTGCAAGTATTCTGTATCAAAAGTAAGTTTGAATTTGCACTTCAAAGATACGTAGAACAAATCTTACTATGGTGAATTAAGAAAATGCCATACTGATCTATAAAAAAACTTTATATTTCCGTCCTTTATCTCAACCAAACTGAAAATAACCACGATATTCAAACAAGGATGAAAATGCTCCTGCCTAAATGGGTACTTCAAAATGACGAATGTACCCGACCTTTACCAGTAGATATGAAAAGACCAATCAAAGTCAAATAAAAATGGGGAAATATAAAACAGTAGCCATCGAAAATTCCAGTAGGATATGTTGATCAAGAAAAAAATGCTTGATTTTTTTTCTCGTTTTTCAAATTACCAGATTTTTTTTCTTGGGGGAGGGGGTTAAATCCCCCCGTGATTCTCTGGCATTATTTGATAATAAACTGTATGAATAACAACAACAAGATGAGAAAAAACCCTAATTCCTTTAAAATGTATTTTATTTAATTTACAGAACCCATGATAACAGCAAGCAATACAGTAGGACATAGATCATGGGATTTTGGTCTACGACCACCTACCAAAGGACATAGTTAACTAAAACCCTAGTGATTTAATTTGGTCGTGTGTCCATGTTATTGAGACCTAAACCGGTTCGGGTTCGTGTCCAAGACAAAAGTGACAGTTTTAATGTAGTGCAACAAAAGGCTGTAAATCCGTTTGAATTAAAGTGAATATTGTAAAGAAATTGTCGAACAAAAGCAGTTTTCTGTTTCCTCAAACCAATTCACATCCATGACCCCCTAAAAAGGGCAAAGCTGTAGTGCAAGACGGCAAGCTAAGCAGGTTTCGCTGAGATCAGTAGATAGGCTGTCGTATCGGGAGAGGAATCAGTGCAAATCATGCAACGGCACGTAAAATTTCCACCTATAAATTAGCTCTCCAAATTTGTGCTCATTCATTGAAAGATCGGATCCATATCTGGTAACTTAGAAGCAGGGTTCCAACTCACCAAACACGATGTTCAATGACTGGAGACTAGTCTGTTCAGTGGTGTTGGTTGGAGCTCTGGTCGCTATATCAGACTGCCAGGTATTATTTAGAGCTCAGCCGTCGTTTCAATCATCGGCTTTACAGAGACTTGCCGCTCTTCTGGGACAAAGGTTTCAGGGCGGACAGGCGGCGCAGCAACAGGGGCGGGGTTTCGTGAACAACAACTTCGGTTTCAACAACAACAATGGGTTCAGAGGTTTCGGCACTCTGGGCACATTTGGAAGAGGTTTCAACGGCGGCTTTGCTAGGCTTAACGGTGGTTTTGGTGGTGCGGCTAGGCAGAACGCTAACGGATACAGAAACTTCAAAGCGGTCAGTTCCACTTATAACTCTGTGAAAAGTGACGCTGGGTTCGGAAACAGTTCCAAAAATCAACAATATGGCCAGGTTGGTCACCGTGGCGGATTTGGAAACCAAGGCGGAAATGGAGTCTTTGCCAATGCCGGCAACCAACAATTTGGGCGGCAGCTCTCCAGAGCTGCCAACGTAGCTAACCAAGCGGCAGCCGGTGGACAGACAGGACAGTTTGGTAGTCAGGGTGTAGGAAGCGGCACCAGTCTCAACAGCCAAAACATTGGCTTCCGAGGTGGTCAAGCTGCGATCGGTTAACAGGACAGAGGTAAGTTAACACATACAACGTGATGGTGAAGAATTGGTAGATTGCCATCAAGTTCGGTTGTACCTCACAGCCTATATTTGAGAATACGACACCTTCACAATATGGGACATTTATTGGCTAAATCAGAGAAATATGATTTGATAAATTGCAGAATACAAGACTTTGAAATTATGTGATCCATATGTTAGTCTAAATGGACAAAGGTATTCGGTGTACAGTGAACTTAAAGGCTTACAAAATTCTGAATGTCGATGTGGCCAATCTTACATAACAACAACAACAACAACTGTATCATAACTTTGTGGGGATGGATTGCTACGTTAATGTATTTAAAAACGACAACAGAAAAACATGTTCCATGTTTGTAACTTCTATTGTGTTTCAGGAAAATAAACAGATTCCCTGGGGGCATTACTAGAAGATGACCGTCAACATCAAGACTCCCGCTAGACATGGATTTCTTCGAATTTGACCACCAGGTGGAGTCACCTTGGAAAGGCTTATCTTGAAGTAGTTTTGTTGTCTTTATTGGTGCTCAATCAGTTCGTGCAGACACGGAGCAGTTTATTTGAACCATTGATGAGAACTTTTTGATTGATTATAAACATGAAACATGTTAATGTGATTCTAGAAACAGGTAGAAATATTATAAAAATTACCAATTAGGATTGATTATTATGAGATTTGTATTTGTTGTTAAATTAAGCGAAGTCACCTTAAAGAATTAATTATAATAAAGGATTGGTTGTGAAAATTTATCAAATGAATAAAATACATTTGTTTTTCTGAATCTTTTTCGTCCACTGAAATATTGTTTATTAAATTGAATAATAAGTATAGCTCTAAATTAATCAAATATATTTTTTGATTTGGAGTGGATCACAAAGATTCCATTGACGTGAACACACTGTGTCCTAGTTTTCTTCAAACGTAAGCTAGCACTAAAATTAGAAACAAATGACGAAAAATGGCCTCGAATTAACCACGTTTCTGCCTTCGTAATTTGAACGGATATGATTCCGTTAATCTAGATGTCCACGGCTGTCTTCAAAACCTTTTAGCACACTTAACATGTTTTTAAAAATGATAATGGTGTAAGCAATCTGTATTATTCACCGGCGAATGGACTGAAAACAGTCGTAATTTATAAAAAGGTGTAAATACATTCTTAAAAGCTGCATCAAAATTGAATTTTAATTCTTTTAATAAAGAATGATATGCTATGAATTTTAATAGGTACACACGCTCTAGCAGTGTCCATTCGAAATACCAAGTGTTATATAAGCATTTTTGCTTTTATTTCTGTATGGAACACTCTCATCCACTTTCCTTTCCTAACAATTATTAATGTCTTCTCTGATTACACTATATGGGACTTGTTACCGTTTACCTTATTTTCATAAATATAGCATCCTCCATGTTATCAGTTGGCTAATGATCTCGCCGCCACAAATCGCTCTTCCACGCAACCACAGTACGGGGAAATGACTCAGGCGGACATTGCCCAAAATATAGACTATATATTGCAGATGTTAATTAAAGGTCGATCTTCAATTCAAATAAGTTCTACTTCTTCTTTATGTGTCGATAAAAGGCTGACCAGCTCTTGATAATTCAGTTCAGTTACGACATCCACGAGGCGAGCCTGGTACAGCTACGTGTGGAACGAGACGTAGGTTTTACAAGCTCTGACAACCGTGGCACAAACAGACACATGGAAATAAACACCCTTTTTACTGTCCGAGGAACAACGGCGGTGTTGTTATTGTTGTTTCTATGGATGGACTTTGGCTATGCTCAGAATTACGGAGGTTACACCACCCCGGGCTATTATTACCCACCGCCAGCTGCGTACGGTTACCCCCCACCCGCCTACGGTGGTGCACCCTACTACGCCAATGCTCCATATGGCTACGCTCCCTACGGTATATATGACGCCGGCTACGGTAGGGGGTATCTAGGGGGTGGACGCTATACAGGGTACGGCGCTGGACAAGGTGTGTACAGAGATGTCGGCCAATATGGGACAAACCAAGGGTACGGAAACGCTGCCGGGTATGGTGGATTTGGTCAAGGCGCCAACAAAGCGTACAACGGATTTGGTCAGAACTACGGTGGCTTTGGGAATCGTGCAAGCAACGGCTATAATTCCTACTCCGCGGTGAGCAAGACGTACAATGCCGTCAAACAAGAGGGCGGTTTCAGTGACGAAGGGGCCAGCGGAAACTATGGTGCGGTTGGAAACCAGGCTGGGTACGGGAACGCCGCCAAGGAGGGTCTATACCGCCAGGGTTATAACGGTGGTTACGGCGCAGGGACAGGCGGATACGGCACAAGATACGGTGCTGCTGTAGGCCAGTATGGAACGTTGACTCAAGGCTTGGGGTACGGCGGGGGTGCAGGGGCCTATGGGGTCGGTCCTTACTACGGATAGGTGAGATCTTATTTAACGCATACAGTGCACGTAGTATTTGTACAAGAGAGTTTGAAAGTTGCTGATAAATGCCCCCCCCCAAAAAAAAAATAAATAAATAAATAAATAAAAATCTTGCCCTTGATTCCCCACAAAAATTTATTTTAGATATGATCAGTCCCTTCGCAAGGCTAGCATGACCGAACGCTTTGACAACTCAGAGAAATATTTTTACACAAATTTTATATGCTATTCCAGAGCCCTCTTTATAGTGTTTTAATTCAATGGGCCAGAACTCTTAATTTTTATTTCTCAAAATTCTTCCACTATACTTCAGTGGAATTACATTTGGTATTGCCTTTCCTTAAGTACGTGATTATTATGACTTTACAGCTTTTTTACAGCCATTCAACAGAGAAATGCTTGTTCAATTAAACAAAACCAGCTTGGACTAACGAAGGCGTCAAGATTATGCTCTCTTTATAAACTGTTGCTACCTCTATCCAGATGATGACTTTATTTAAGAATTATGGAAAATATTCCATACTATAAATGTCACTTAAACAAGTCGTCTTGTGATCTTATAAAGAATCTTGAACAAATTTACAATACTCCGTTTGACATCAAAAACCACGACATCGGGAAACATCTGACAGAGAGGCTGTATAGTGGTGGGAGTCTGGTTGAATGAAATGATCATATATTAAAAGTTTGTCAAGATGAATTGAAAGAGAAAAAAGACCTAGAGCAGTAAACAAGTGAGCAGACGAAAGTCGATTTATTCGCATTTTTAGGAGATAACAGTTAAAACTAAAAAAACTTCATTTCGACATAGCGTGTTTAGACCCCTTTGAACTGACTGTCGACTCTGATCAAAACTCTCATTTAAAATAAAAACTCAAGGCAGTTTATAGGTTATATTAAGATGGAGGAGCTGTGTAATCCTCATCCCGTCAAATGATTCTACAAGTAATATCTGTCAACAATGAATGCCAATTTTCCTCATATTTTCAGACAACCCCGTATCACGAAGAGGAAACCAGATGATAGAATACAGACTTCCTCGAACCCCAAACAGCGCTCAAGGCACCGACTCCCAAGTATCTTCGAACCCGTTCGCATATCGTAAAATATATATGTCATCTTTAAATTATTTCATCATACATATGTTCATATAAGTACTTAATCTTAGTATTGTGTTACGTAGTAAAAGATTAAATAAATATATTTGATTGTATTAAAAACGACTTTGTTACGTCTATTGAAAGAGGTGTTACTAGTAGTTGTTTTTATTTGAAGTGTTCATTACAACTCCTTGTTTATTAAAGTGTTTACATTTTATGAGACACTCTTTAAATATCGAGATATATATACCTTGGAAATTTGTTAAGGATACAAAAGCTTAAATTTTGAACGTTTACCTACTTATCTGAGTTTTATAATAAAATAGTCGAATGCCTAAACCGAGTCTCGGTCGACATCACTAATATGATGTTTGCAAAAATATAAAATAAATAAAT